GATTCTCCAGCATCTGCGGTTCCTACTGTCTCGGAATCAAGGTATAATTGGCTTAATGGCAAGAGCCAGAGAGTGAAGATGGAGGGTTGCTTTTTGGACTGTAGGCCTGTCAACCTGTGGTGTTCCAGAGGGATTGGTATTGGGTCCTCTTTTGCTTGTCATTATATAAATGATTTGAATGAGAATGTAGAAGGCATGGTAAACAAGGTTGTGGATGATAGCAAAGTTAGTAGCATAGTAGTAAGTGGAGAAGGTTTCCTAAGATTACCAAGGGATCTTGATCAAATACCTCGATGGGCTGCAAAATGACAGATAGAATTCAATCTGGATGAATGCAACGTTTTCCATTTTGGAGCAACATACAAAGGTAGGCCTTGTACGATTAATGGGAGGGACTTGGTAGTGTTGTCGGACAGAGGGACCTGTCCTGTTGAAGACCTGTTGAAGTCTGCATCACATCTAAACAGGCTGGTAAAGAAGGCATGCTTGCCTTCATTGCACAGTCCTTTGAGTTTATGAGGTGGGAAGTCACATTGAAGTTCTAAGGGTCTTTGGTGAGGCCACGTCTGGAATACTGTGACCAGTTCTTGTTGGACATTTAGAGGAAAGATATTATTAAGCTGGAGAGGGTTCAGAAGACATTCACCAGTAATTTGCCATGTGTGTGAGGTTTGAGTTACAAAGAAAGGATGGATAGGCTGGGACGTTTTTCACTGGAGCATAGAATGTTGAGGGGTCATCTTATAGAAGTTTATAAAATAATGAGGGGGGTGAGACAGAGTGGATGGTCGTTGTCCTTTGCCTGGGATGGGATGGGGGGGAGGTGGGGGAGTGGAAGTGAAGACCAGGGTGAACATTTTTAATGTGACAGGAGAGAGATTTTAAAACAAAGACACGAGGGTTTTTTTTTACATAGAGCATGGACGCATGAAGAATGAATTTCCTGACGAAATTGTCTCTATGGCTACAATTATAACATTGAAACGACATTTGGATAAGTACACAAATAAGAAAGAAAATAGGCCAGGGACAGGTAGGTGGAACTCGTTGAGGTTGGCATTATATTCGGCATGTAACGGTTGGACCGAAGGTTCTGCATCCTTGCTGAATGACTCTATATGAGAGAAAAACTGACACAGGCTATTGAGTTGGATGATCTGCCATTTTCATGATGAGTGGGAGGAGAGGTTTGAAGGTCCGATTGGTTAGGTCCAGGTGCTATTATTTATGTTTCTATGGCTGTTTATTCCCAGAACCGATGTTGAGTATTGTCCCCGGAATGAAAAATACTGATCTGGGTGAGCAAACTTCAAACCAGATGATTGGCTGTTATAGCTGAATCTGAAGAAGAGCGAATCTCCGGCGCACAGGCCTCAGAGAGTTTAACAGTTACTGAGGAGAAAAACTACAACTAACTCCCTGGATATCATAACAAAGGCTGAAAGGAGGAGAAATTATATCCTTCCACACTTACATTTGGCGATATTTCTGGCCTGTGACTGTGTGGATGTGAATATTGAGTCAGAGAGACTGTCGGAAAAGGGCGGGCGGGTGAGTCTAACGTAACTGTGTTTGTGTGTACGCTCGTATCATGATATTCCTGAATCTCTCTTTGCAAATCAAAAATATTTTCAATTCAAGTTATCCCCCTGCTCCCCCACGAAACCCCAAAGGTAGAATTCAAGGCAGTGTATTTGTTGATTTTAAGATTTCAGTCTAAAAGTGACGATAATGTCAGCGCTTAACTCAGAGAGCGCGATCAGTGCAGCAGAAAAATGCTTTTAACTCGACAACGGAACCGTCAATTCGAGTGAAAACATTTTAGCCGCAAACCTGCCCGTGTCAGGGTCAGGAACGATCGAGCCTGGCTATCTGGAGATGTGGAATTGCAGAGGAATTCGAGAGTTTCGGCCGAGATAGAAACACAGAGAGGCAGCAGTAGAAGGGAGTTGAGGGCAGGTTGTCTCCGCGCCGTCCGCTCGCTGCCTTTAAGTTGCTCAGTGCCGCCATCAGCAGCTTCATTGCTGACCCAGTTCAGTCTGACAGAGAGATTCAGCGCAGAGTTCTCGACATGAGCGACAGTGCAGCCGCCGAAACGGCTCCTCCAACCTCCGCCAGCACCAAACCCAAGATTCCCAAGAAGAAGAAGGCGGCGTCTCCCAGGAAAAAAACAGCCGGTCCCGGGTTGGGTGAGCGAATTGTGAAGATTGTCGGGGAGAGCAGCGATCGGAAGGGGACGTCTCTGGCCGCTATCAAGAAGGCGCTGCAGAGAAGCGGGGTCAATGTGGAGAAGCAAAATGCACAGATCAGGATGGCTATCAAAAGGTGTCTGGCGAAAGGCTCCCTGGTTCTGGTGAAGGGCCAGGGCGTCTCCGGCTCCTTCAAACTCCCTAAGAATCCAGTCAAGGCAAAAGTGGGAAAGAAGGCGAGACCAGCAGCCGCCGCCAAGAAACCAGCCGTGAAGAAAACAACGGCCAAGAAGGTGACAGCGAAGAAATCCCCAGCCAAGAAAGCAACAGGCAAGAAAGCGGCCGGCAAGAAGGCAGCAACGCCGAAGAAAGCAGCGCCTAAGAAAAAGACTCCCGTGAAGAAGGTGAAAAAGACCAAGAGCCCCAAGACCGCAAAACCGGTCCCGAAATCGGGTAAACCGAAGGCCAAGCCCAAAGCGAAAGTGACCAAGAAAGCAGCAAAGAAATGAATCAGTCTGTGCAACATGTAACCACCTGAACACAAAGGCTCTTCTCAGAGCCACCCATATCTCTCAGGAAAAAGCTGAGCCCGGATCAAATGATCCCTGTCCCATCTCCGATTGCAGGGATAAATTATATATTAATTAATGTGAGTAACTCGTCCACATTTCTCTACCAGATTTTCACCCAGTCTCTCTCCCACATTCTACAATAAATCAGTATTAGGTCCACATCATACTGCCCATAGGTTCGGGTGCAGTTTCATTTCATGTCCGTCTGCTTTTCACATATTCAGGGAGAGTCTCTGAGAGGAACACTGGGCCAGAAGCCCCGCTTCGCAACACAATCCCCAAGAAATGATTTTCTCCCATTCAGCTAAAGGAATAGAAACTGACATTGAATTGGAAGCAACAAGGTGCAGGGCTGGATGAACACAGCAGGCCAAGCAGCATCCGAGGAGCAGAGAGGCTGACGTTTCGGGCCTGGACCCTTCATCAGAAAAGGGGGAGGGGAAGGGGGTTTTGAAATAAATAGGGAGAGAGTGGGAGGCGGATAGAAGAGGGATAGAGGAGAGGATAGGTGGAGAGGAAACAAACAGGTCGAAGAGGCGGGGATGGAGCCAGTAAAGGTGAGTGTAGGTAGGGAGTTAGGAAGGGGATAGGTCAGTCCAAGGAGGAATTGGAATTGAATTGGAAGCAACCGTGTGTTGGCTTGTTAAGAAAGGCCGGGACATGGCCGTTTAATTTTGTCGCAACTGCTTTTAAAAGTTCCAGGTTTTATTATCTTTGAACATGAAGCTTGAGTCTGTATGTTTTTTGCCGGGCATTATGTTCACAGCCCTTGTGGAGAAAAGGTTGAGTTCCAGATTCATTTGGGGGCTGGAGTTAGCTGGAGGCGGAGCTGGACATTTCTCTGTCTGTCACTCAGTTTCCTGCCCGGGCCGCCTCTCACTCTGTGTCAGCTCTTTCTCAGTCAGACCGGGGCGGGCTGTATAAAAAAGGAAGGTGAGGCAGATCGAATCGCATTCGGCAGCGATTGGAGTGAAGGAGCGTGATGTCTGGAAGAGGCAAAGGAGGCAAAGGCCTGGGGAAAGGCGGAGCGAAGCGGCACCGCAAAGTGCTCCGTGATAACATCCAGGGCATCACGAAACCAGCCATCCGGCGCCTGGCTCGCCGTGGTGGGGTCAAGCGCATCTCGGGCTTGATCTACGAGGAGACCCGCGGGGTGCTGAAGGTTTTCCTTGAGAATGTGATCAGGGATGCGGTCACCTACACTGAGCACGCCAAGCGCAAGACGGTCACTGCCATGGATGTGGTGTATGCTCTTAAACGCCAGGGCCGCACTCTCTATGGGTTCGGCGGCTGAGCAAATCGACCCTTTTCCAGCGAACCAAAAGGCTCTTTTCAGAGCCATCCAAACCCTTCAAGTGAGAGCGGAGACCTGAGCACAGGAAAGGCAGCACATAGAGAGGGTGTAGTATCCCGCAGCTGGTTATTCCATACCTCGAACTGTAATTCTGCCCTGATGCGAAATGTCACAGATTGCAGTATTTCTATTTCATTCCTTCCAGGAATGATATTCAGTTCAGTTTTCATTCAGGGAAGCCTGCAGATGTTTTAATGGCCTATTGTTACACTCTGTCTGTTACAGTTTTCGGACTAATTGTAACTGGCTGAAAAAAAAATGAGCCGATAAATTGAGATAGTGTAACTTTTTTAGCGTGCACTGGGAGCTTTGAAGATGCTTAAATCGGCGGTGTTATTTAGATTCATTAACACGGCCGGTTGATTAGTTTGAGCGAACAAGGTGGAGAGCTGGACGAACGCAGCAGGCCAAGCAGCATCAGAGGAGCAGGAAGGCTGACGTTTCGGGCCGCGACCCTTCTTCAGAAGTCTGGGCTGTGTTAAAACCCTGCGCTTTCCTCCTCCCTGTTACGGGCAGATCAGACAATGATCCCGCGTCCTGTCCGCGTTAACTGCAAGTTAGGTTTAAAAAGAAATCCCACAAAGTACAGATTTTATCGTCGTTGGATTTTATTTTGCATTTAAATGTTTAACTTAATTTCAGGATTGCGAGAGTAAAATCGGCGGGCTTTTTGAAATTGACAAACTGTCATTTCAAGTTAACCAATCAGACTCCAACAACTATTTTATTGACTTTTCTGTACCTTCCGCAGCTGTTTCTCAGTGGGTTGAGGGACGGAACTGTATCCAATCGCAGCTCTAAGGCGGGCTCTTCAATTCCCTTAAATAGGCAGCACCGCTGCAGGCTCAGCGTTGATAGTAGCAGCATATAAATGTGTTGTAGAGAATGGCCGGAACCAAGCAGACAGCGCGTAAATCCATCGGAGGGAAAGCTCCCCGCAAGCAGCTGGCAACCAAAGCGGCCCGCAAGAACTCTCCGGCCACAGGCGGAGTGAAGAAGCCTAATCGCTACAGGCCCGGCACGGTGGCTGTGCGGGAGATCCGCCGCTACTAGAAATCCACTGAGCTGCTGATCCGCAAACTGCCCTTCCAGCGCCTGGTGCGGGACATCACTCAGGACTTCAAGACCGACCTGCGGTTCCAGAGCTCGGCCGTGATGGCCCTGCAGGAGGCCAGCGAGGCTTACCTGGTGGGGTTGTTTGAGGACACCAACCTGTGTGCCATTCACGCCAAGCGATTCACTATCATGCCCAAAGACATCCAGCTGGCCCGCCGGATCCGTGAGGAGCGCGCTTAAACGGAGCGTGCCCGGCCCTGCCCACTAACCCTGAGAAACGCAACGGTTCTTTTCAGAGCCACTCAACTATCCAAAAAGAGCCGAACTGACGTATGATGTGCGTTTCGTTGTCATATAGCCATATCTTAACATTATTGCACCGGGCTAATTCAGCTGTAACTGCAGGAACTGCATCTGGCTGAAAAAAACACACAAGTGCGTAGGACTGATACATTTGTGTGATTTCAATTAAAACTCAAGAAGCGTATTTTAATTATAAATTGAGGTTTAAATTAGTCACAACAAAAGTGAAGTACGGCATCCCTGTATGCAAATTAGAAATTCACGACAAAACCTCTGTGCTTTTTGCTTCCCTTGGCCTTTCCTCGAGCTCTACTTTCAGCCTCCTGTTTGTTTACCTTGGATTCCAGCATCTGCTGTTTCTTTTTTCTGATAACTGTGACCATGGCTGAGAAGGAGGGCGGGAAAATGGCGCCAAATCGTTAAACGCTTTCTTACAAATTTGAAAATCCCGCCAATATGTAGAAACCATGAGGCGGTTTTACACAGAAGAATGCAAGTGTACTTAACGAGTTGATTTGATTTTCAGATTACAAAATCTGTAGTTCACACAATTTGTTTCCTCATTCCACAAAAGGCTTCTCTCTCTCTCTCGCTACTGTGTTGCTTTAAATGATTTTTCTTTAGAATCTCCTCGGATTATTCTTACCGTTATCTCATATCCCCTCTTTGCCCTCCGGATCTCCCTCTTCAGAATGCACCTACTCTTTTCATACTGCTCAAGAGATTCAGTTAAACCTCATTTTCAATATCTAATATATTTTTTTTTTCTATTCTCAACGTCGAACCTTAATAATCTAATTCAACCATTGCTCATTAATCCTACTTTGGTAGATGTTCTTCGGAACGTTTGTTCAGATTCGATCAATCAAACGGTCTCTTTCTGCTGTGTTTAGATGCCATGAACGTGCTTCCTGATTGATGTATTGATAGGGACACCGTCTTTTCATTAGTTTTAAAGTCTCCCTCCCTTATTCCAGCTTACACCTTACTGCTGTAACTATTGAAGATATTTCTTCACAATTGTCCAGTGAAAATATGTGGGTTGAAATTAGAAAAAGGAAAGGAATGATCACCTTGATGAGATTGTATTAATAGGCCCCACAATAGTCAGATGGACATTGACGAACATATATGTAGAGACATCTCAGACATAAGTAAGGATAATAATGTTGCAATAGGTGATTTTAATTTTCCAAAGGTTGAGTGGGACTACACTAGTGTCAAAGGTTTGGATAGTGAAGAACTTGCTAATTGTGTTCAAGAAAGTTTTCTTTAACATGTAAATATTCTTGGTCGAGACAGGGAAAAAAAAAACGTTTTCTTCAGTAATAGGGCAGGGCTAGTGATTGATGCAGGAACACTTTGGGTCTATGATGGTAATTTTATTAGCTTTAAACTAGTTATGAAAAAGATAATACTTCCTTGAAAGTTAAATTTTTTAATTGAAGTAAGGCAAATATTAATGGTATGAGACAAGAACTTTCAAAAGTCATACAATAGAATCCCTATAGTGTGGAAACAGCAATTTGGCCCAACAAGTCCACACCGTCCTCCAAAAGCATCCCACTCAGAACCATTCCCCTATCTAACCCACATAACCTAAACATCCCTGGGCACAATGGGCAATTTTAGCTTGGCCAATCCACCTACCCTGCACATCTTTGGACCGTGGGAGGAAACCAGAGCACCTGGAGGAAACCCACGCAGACATGGGGAGAATGTGCAAACTCTCACACAGACAGTCGCCCAAGGCTGGAATTGCACCCGGGTCCCTGGCGTTCTGAAGTGCTAACCACTGTGCCACCCATTGGTAGTAGAATGTTCACAGGTAAGGGGATGTCTGATAAGTGGAAGGCATTCACAAGTGTCATATGAAAGTTCAGAGTTAATATGATCGTCTTAGAGTAAAAGGTAAGCTGGCAGGATAAAGGAACAATGGATTAATAAAGATATTGAGGTTCTCATTGGGAATTCAAAAGAAATCGTATTAGATAGAGACAACTGGGTTCAAATGAGTGTAGAGACAGGAGGAAAAAAAATGACCTTTTCATCGGTAATATGGCAGGGCTAGTTACTGATGTGATAGTGAGGGAGCACTATGGAGTGTAGGGGCATTCTGAAATCAGGAAAGCAAAGAGGGGATTCAAGATAGCTTTGGTGTTAAGGTTTAGGATAATCCAAAGAGATTCTGCAAGATCACTAAAAGCAAGCGAGTGATTAGAGAGGAAGAGTTGAGCTCTTAATACAAAGGCTACCTATTTGAAGTTGGAAACTCGGAAGACAGGAGGAATAGAAAACAAATATTTCACAAATAAAATTGTTGAGGGAGAGAAATAGAAGCTAGAGAACTTGGGAAATAAATATTGATATTTTGAAAACAGTTCATATTATAGAAGAGGAAGCGTTGGAGGTCTTAGAAAGCATAGAGTTGAATAAATGTCCAGAATCTGATATACTGTATTGAGAATATTGTAGGAAGTTAAGAAGGAAATTGCAGAAACCCTTGCAGTAATGTTTGTACCATCTATAACTATAATGTGGTGCGGCATGACTGGAGGTAGTCTAATGTGCCTTCATTTTCAAGAAGGGATGTAAGGAGAAGCTTAGTAAGTATAGGCCTGAGAGTCTGAAATATGTGGTGGGTACATTGTTGGAGGTGCTTCCAAAAGATACGACTCATATGTATGGGGGAGGTGGGGGTTTTCAAAGAATGGTTAGGGATAGTCAGCATGGTTTTGAGTGAGGGAAATTATATCTCAAAATTGATTGAATTTTTTGAGGTAGTAACCAAGATGATTGAGAGCAGAGTGGTAGACATTGTTTACTTGGACTTTAATGAAGTGTAGGGGTGACCTGCATACAACAAAGCGGCCCCTGTTTGAACAAAGACACACAAGGACTAAACAAAATGGGGCAGTCTGCTCTAACGTTTAAAGTGAAACATATTAATACCTTGGAAGCGATCTGCCCAAGGTCGTAGAAAGGCCCTGCAACCCATCATCTGAGACAACAAGGTTTAGAGCTGGATGAACACAGCAGGCCAAGCAGCATCAAGACAGTTTTGATAAGAGGATGCCTAAGAATGGACAAATGACTCCAGTCTCATCAATGAAAGGATGTTGCTCCACTGGAGACATAGCATCAGGGGTCTAAATCTTAGCTTCGACTTACTCCCTAAACAGCTACAAAAAAGAACAACAGCTAAAGGTAATTCATAGCAGTTAGCTTTTTAAACTATAGTATTAAGAACAAAAAAGGTTCTATTTAAAGAATTATTTTGATAATCACAGAAGTAGGTTTCAATATATAACCAGAATATAATACAAGCAGTTGAGGAAAACACATTTAAACCCATGTGAAAGTGAATCAGCTTTAGGACAAGCTTTAGGATAAGCTTTAGGATCAATCTAAACAAGCTAGATTGATCCAATTCATTAGTGAAAAAGTGCTAATGGTAAAAGTAGCTGTAGAACTTTACACTTTATTTACTGTTATAAGATTAGAGCTAATCATGTAGCTGTTACTTAAAACTAACTGCCATATATATATCAGGATGGTGGGAAATATCAAATTTAATCAATCCTTTTAGAAAGGGGTCACACATCATACCACAAATAATAGGATTCAAACAGCTCTTAGAGATAAAGTCTAGGACAGACCAGGAGTATAGCTAACAACTTATAGAATGTGAATTAATAGGATGCATAGAAAGATCCCCAAGGCCCAGTGATGACAATGTATCGTAAACACCATGACATAATGAGAACCTATGCTGTTCCTATGACCATGATTGATTCAGTGTCCCATGGGGTGAGGTGTTTGGATTAAGGTGAAGGACAGTGACTACTTTGCATTTGATTATTGTAACATGTAGTGTATAAAAATGCTGTAATTCCTTGCAAAATCAAAGTGTGTCATTAATCTCTCTTCCGATCTGAGCTGTAGATTAAGGGAAAAATGCTTTCTCACATCGAGAACAGATTTGTGGAAGATCCTTTGGCCCTCTCCCTGCATTAACTGGTTTCTTCTTGAATAAACATCTTCCACTTGCCTGAATCCGGTCTGTGCCCTGAGTATTTGTTTCTAGCCAGGGTTTGGGGGTGGGGGAAGAGGGGGGAAGCTCCTTCACAAAGTCTTTGACAATGTTCTTCATGGCAGATGAAATAATAGGGTAAGATTACATGGGACTTGGGGTGAGGCTGGAAATTGGATACAAAACTGGCTTGATGGCAGGAGATGGAGACGGCTTGGCAGTTGCTTTTTGGACCGGATGCCTGTTACTAGTAGTGTTCCACTCCATCTTGTGTTGGGTCCACTTTTGTTTATCTTTTAAATAAATGATTTAGATGAGAATTGAGAAGGCATGGGTAGTAATTTTGAAGATGTCACCAAAATTAGTGGCATAGTGGACAGTTGACAGTGAAGACGGTTATCGAAGACTACAACGAGATCGTGATCAATTGGGTCAATGGCTTGAGGACGGGCAGATGGAGGAACTGAGGCATTGCATTTTTGAAAAACAGAGCGGCAGGTCTTGTACAGATACACGTAGGGCCTTGGATAGTGTTGGAGAACAGAGAGAACTAATGGGTCAAGTATATAGTTCTTTGAAGTTTGCATCAGCTGTAGACCACGTGGCACCTGGCTTCATTACTCACTCCTTTTGAATACAGGACATTGAGACTTTTACTGAAGCACTATATCAGGTTCTGGTCACCCTATTAGGGAAGGATATTATTGCACTGGAGGAGCTTCAGAAAAGATTTACCAGGATGTTGAGATAACACAATATGGAGCTCGAGGAACACAACAGGCCAGGCAGCAGAGAAGCAGGAAAGTTGACTTTTTCAGAAAAAGGGTCCTGACCCGAAAAGTCAACTTTTCTGCTGCCTGGTCTACTGTGATCCACCAGCTCCATACTGTTATCTCGTACTTACTACTTGATGGATTGGGTCATTTTAGCTCTTCTCAAATGCAGTTACAGGAAATATGAAACTGGTTGTGAGCGAGGCACTGAGATGCATTCATATGACGATGATTAAAGTCACAGGCAGTTACAGAGCAATAACAAATAATGCAATCCGAACGCTATTACAATTGCGATTCATTATAAATTCGTGATAAACGTCGCACTCTCCATGCGTTTCAGCTGTTCCGTGAACGTGACTGACTGCAGCTTGTTGGTAAAGATTTCATGTTAGATCATACACACAGTGACACTAAGAGTATCAAATAGCAAAGGGACTGAAACGAACATCAAATAATTAAAGCAGAAAAAGACATTCCGACAGAGGGGATGGTCTAGCTGCTTTTCACTGATGTTGTGGGTGGCTCTTAAAAGAGTCTTTGGGTTATCAGACGAAATAACTGTCTCTTCACTTTTTAGTGGCACCCCCAGCGGCGGTTTTCTTGGGCAGCAGCACAGCCTGGATATTAGGCAGCACCTCACCCTGAGCGATGGTCACTCCTCCCAACAGCTTGTTGAGCTCCTCGTCGTTGCGCACGGCCAGCTGGAGGTGCCGAGGGATGATGCGGGTCTTCTTGTTGTCCCGGGCCGCATTACCGGCCAGCTCGAGGATTTCAGCCGTCAGATACTCAAGTACCGCAGCCAGATAGACCGGCGCTCCGGTACCCACACGCTCAGCATAGTTACCCTTTCTCAGGAGCCTGTGAATACGGCCTACCGGGAACTGCAGGCCAGCCCGGGACGACCAGGACTGCGCTTTGGAACGAGCTTTCCCACCAGCGCCCTTTCCTCTCCCGGACATAACCAAAATCTTACAACCACTTTCACACACAATGATGCAATGCGCCCACATTCCGGTCTCTTATACTTTCGGGAGGAATGGGGGTGCAGTCATTGCTGATTGGCCACATTGTTTAGCTTCTCCTAATGTCGTTTCAACTCCCAATCAGATATCTGCTTCACTCACCAATCCGGAGAGGGCGCGGAGAGGAGGCCGGAAAATACCGGCGCCAAATCATCAAACGCTTTCTTTCTGATTTGAAAAGCCCGCCAATATGTACCAAAAAGTAGGAAGATTAACACAATAGAATGCACGAATACTCGTTGTGGCACTGCAGGAGGCCCAGGATGGACATGTCGTCTGAGGAATGGGAGGGGGAGTTGAAATGGTTCGCGACTGGGAGGTGCAGTTGTTTGTTGCGAACCGAGCGTAGGTGTTCTGCAAAGCGGTCCCCGAGTCTCCGCTTGGTTTCCCCGATGTAGAGGAAGCCACACCGGGTACAGCGGATGCAGTATACCACATTGGCAGATGTGCAGGTGAACATCTGCTTGATGTGGCCACAACGATGCCACCCGAAGGTTGCAGGAACATCAACTCATATTCCGCTTGGGAACCCTGCAGCCCAATGGTATCAATGTGGATTTCACAAGTTTCAAAATCTCCCCTCCCCCCACCGCATCCCAAAACCAGTCCAGCTCGTCCCTGCCTCCCTAACCTGTTCTTCCTCCCACCTATCCCCTCCTCCCACCTCAAGCCGCACCTCCATCTCCTACCGACCAACCTCATCCCGCCCCCTTGACCTGTCCGTCCTCCCTGGACTGACCTATCCCCTTCCTAACTCCCGACCGACACTCACCTTTCCTGGCCCCATCCCCGCCTCTTCGACCTGTTTGTTTCCTCTCCACCTATCCTCTCCTCTATCCCTCTTCTATCCGCCTCCCACTCTCTCCCTATTTATTTCAGTACCCCCTTCCCCTCCCCCTTTTCTGATGAAGGGTCCAGGCCCGAAACGTCAGCCTCTCTGCTCCTATGATGCTGCTTGGCCTGCTGTGTTCATCCAGCCCTGCACCTTGTTGTCTCGGATTCTCCAGCATCTGCAGTTCCTACTATCTCTGATTAGCCTTTCTGTGATTGGTTAGTGTGGGACACGACGTGGATCTGCCAGGATCTGCAATGAAATTTCAAACGCAAATCGAAATTTTGTACACGGATCAAACTCTGAGCTTTCTCTAAATCGTGAGATCCTAATCGCGATTTATTCTACATCTTTTGATAATGGTTTTCTTTTCTCCTCCGTTTAAAAATGTCATCACGTTAGTTGTCAAGTGACAAAATGCACTGAAATCTGACAGTGGTGTGTTTCACTCCTGGAAATGATGGAACCACTGACAATTGCATCGTGCTTGATGAACATGGGAGTTAGGGAATGTTCTCTCTTGCTCGTGTTTCTTGTACTACATTCTCTGAAGTTTAAGGACATTATACCAGCATCTGCTTCGTCAACACCCTTCAGTTTTCGTTTCCTCGAAAGGTTTGACGTCCTTCTTTAAATCTCCAATGAGTATAGGCCCAAACTATTGATACTTTCCTCAGAATACCTGCCAGCGTCTGTCGGTATCAGTTTTACTCGGATTACCTCGATGACAAAAGAGAACTGATGTACTGTGACCCGTGCCTTTCGCTTTCTGCTGATTACACAAATATTACTCTCTATCCTTTGGGCTCTTCAATCAGTGTCAGCAGCTTTCTGCCTACATTTCAGTTCCTGGAATCTTCCTTTGCACTTAATTAGTGCGGATGTTATTTTGTGCATTTCAGTTTCCAGCAATAATTGTTTTTCATGGATTTTCTCTGAACTTTATTTGTCAACATGTCAGTTGTATTTACACTGATTATTGTCATTTAAGAATATTTTGAACACAGTACCTTTTGCAAATTTTAATTGTGACAATCTCTTGTGTGTAGATTTTTTTTGTTTTATCACTATCAATGAGTCCCTGATTACAGTGTGAATGATATTGTGTTGTTCAGAATTTCAGGTTGACGAAGGGTTAGTTTTATTTCTCATTATTGGCTGTGTAAAAATGGGAGTGCAGTTATCGATCTGCCATTTCAGCTTCCACTCGATGAATGATTATTACTCCCTCACAATCTGTCCATCAGTTTCTGCTGACCGAATGTGAGTGTGTAGTGATCAATCTGTACCAATCAGTTCCTCCAGTGATTATGCTTGTGTAATTATCAGTCTATCCCCGAAGCTCTCTCCTGTGTGAATGTGTAATTGTAGTTATCAATCTGTCGCTATCAGGTCTTTGCTATGTACGTGTGTGCGTGTATTTACCAATTTCTGCTGTGAATGAGAGTTTAGTTATCCATATGTTTCTGTTCATTTCACAGCCTCTCTCTGTTTCTGCATTGGGAATATGGAAATGTATTTATTATCTGTACCTGTCCGTTTCTATCACGTGAAAATGTAATTGTTGTCATTAACGTGTCCCTGTCAGTTAGTACAATTCAAGAGTGTGACTGTAGTTATTAACCTGGTCCTCTTAGTTTCTGTTATGTCCAGATTGATCTGGACCTGTCAATTTCTGCTAGGTGCATATGTGAGTGTCAATACATGCCTGTCAGTTTCTTGTCTGAACATGTGAATATCGTTATCAAAACTGTACCTGTCAGTTAACTTGCTGTGAAACCGGGTGTGTAATTATCAATTTGCTCTTATCAATTTCTGCATTGTGAATACGAGTGTGCTTACTCATCTTTCTAGGACAGTTATTGTTGTGTGAATGTGTGAGCATATTTACCAATCTGTTCCTGCCAGTTTCTGAAATTTGAATGTGATTTTATTTATCAATCTGTACCAGTCAGTTTTTATTTCAGCACTTTCAGTCTCTACCTGACAGGTTCTGCTATTTCAACATTTGAGTTCAGTTACTGATCTGCAATGCCAGTTTCTGCTAGGTGAATGTTGCAGCACAGTTATTCATTTGTACCTCATACTTTCTGATATCGAAAATTGTAGTTATTAACCTGTTTTTGTTGGTCAGTGCAATGTGAATGAAAATGTAGTTATTTGGCAGTTTCTGTCATGTGAACATCTGAGTGTCATGAATCTATCAATCAGTATTACCACAATATTAGTGGTGTGACTAGTTATCAACATGTCCCTGCCAGTTTCTGCTGCATGGATGTGTGAAGTTTGTAATCAATATGTACCTGTGAGAATCTGCTTGTGAAAAGTGGAGTCCAGTTATCATACGGCACCTGACAGTTTTTTTCTAAAATCTGTGGATATTTGAATGCAGTTATAAAATTGGACCTGTCAGGTTATGCTGTGAATCTGGGAGTGTTATTATCAATCTGTTCTTCTGTGTTTCTATGATGTGGCTATGTCAGGTCCTGTTAGTTTGATATATGAGCACAGTTATTAATGTGTACATATCCCTTTTTATAATGTGAATTTGTGAATGTTTTTAAGCAAACTTTACCTGTTAGTTTTGCTATGTCAATATGTGAGTGTCATCATCAATCTGTTTTTGCCTGTTTCTGCAATGTGAATGAATGAGCAGAGCTATCAATACATACTTGTCAGTTTCGATTTGATAACGTGGCTTAAATCTCTGGCAGCCAGTAATATTCTCAGTGAGAATGCGATTTGTTATGTGGTAGTTGTTATTAGGATGATTTAATGCAGCTTAGATTCAGTTCCTGAGTGTATATTTGGGATGAGTATTCGGTCCATCCATCTTCAAGACTGGTGTAAATGTCAATGGGCTATGAATGCTGAAATGTGACGTTGACTTGGTCACCAAGCTGGCTTATTTTTGTTCACACGTTGCATCACCATGCTAGGTGATATCATCAGTGGAGCCTTCGATGAAGCGATGTTGTTCTATTCTGCGTGGAATCTATACTGTCTGGTCCATTATGGTGAGTACTGTCATTTCAGTTTTGATCTGTATGGGTTTATATATGGGGTCCAATTCTATATGTTTGTGTGGAGAACCATGCCGCTAGGGATTTCTGTGAATGTCTATGTTGAGCTTGGGCTACTATGGTTACTTTGTCCAACAAAAACAAAGTTGCTGGAAAAACTCAGCTGGTCTGGCAGAATCTGTAAGGAAAAAACAGAGTTAACCTTTCGGGTCCAGTGACCCTTCCTCAGAACCAGTTACTGATGAGCTTTTCCAGCAACTTTGTTTTTGTTCCTGATTTACAGCATCCACAGTTCTTTCAGTTTTTATATGGTTACTTTGTCCCATTTCAACGGATGGCCTTCATTGTCTGAATGTATTGTATATTCAGACAATGAAGGCCATCAGGTCAACTGGGACAAAATAACTATAGTAGCCCAAGCCAAACATAGACACCCATGGGAATTCCTAGAGGCATGGTTTTCCATCCATATTTCAATCAACAAACATATAGAATCGGACCCCATATATAAACTCATACAGATCAAAACCAGAAATAACAGTACTCACCATAACAGACCAGACGGTATAAATTCCACGCGGAGTAGAACACATCACTTCATCAGAGGCTCCACTGATGATGTCATCGAGCATGGTGATGAAAACGTCTGAACAAAAACAAGCCAGCTCAGCGAGCAAGTCAGCAACATTATCCCAGCAACTACCCGAGCTGCAGATCTTTGCCAAACTTGAAATGCTGAAATTTGTTCAAACTGGGCAGGTGTGCATTGTGAATGGTGAAAAAAAAAAACTTGTATTTCCTCTGTGTTGTTTGAGCATATCTCGCTGGAAATTGACTTCAATGTATGTCTGACTCAATCTGCTCTGTGCCTGTGGGAAGGATGTTCTCTGCTCTGACAGCGGTAAAATACCTTCTGTTTCTTAGAAGCAGCTGGTCACACTTGGCTTTGGACTGAGGGAATATCACTTTCTCTTCGTCCTTCAAGTATTTGCCTGGAGAAAGACAGAAGGAAAACCTCCTGTAAATCAACATCAGCCAAGTTTGATAATATTTAACTGATCAATGCAATGTTTAGTTAATAATCATTACAATATTTTATTTCAAGCCAGGAATTTGAACAGAATTGTGTGTCT